GAAGCGGGTGGGCGCGGGTTGCACCGGAGGGCGCCCGCGCAGCATAATTGCTTTCTACTAAGGCACCCACCCCGCCCCGCCCCACTCGCTCAGCCCGTGGCACGCATACGTCAGGCAGCCCTGCCCCGCCCGCCCGCTCGCGCCCGCGCCGATCACGCAAGAATCTCGTAAATCTGTTGTTAGGGCCGGACAGTCGGGGAGGGTGATAGACACGCGCCCCTGTCTCTTCTTGTATATATACACACTTGGAAAGATTTAAAAGTGGAGCGAGTTGGAGCTCAACCTCAGCGCTGCCTGCCAGGCGCGGCGCGCTTGCGTCCGCAGCCCGATGCTGCGCCGCATGCAGCCGTGCGCGCGGGCAGCCTACCCGCACGGCGCCAGCCGCTGTGTGCTTCAGTGCACAAAGATAGACCCTCCTAGCCTGACATATGGGGTGGTTCCGAAAAAAAAAACGCATTTCGCGTAAAACGTCGGGCCAGGTCGGGTCGTTTTCTCTCCGCTGTGTACCGCTCGCATCTCTCCCCCCGTTGCTGCCGGACCTCTTTTCCGTTTCTCGCTCCACCGACCGCTCCTCGCTGATTGGCCACTCCGGAAGAATAACGCGAAAACCACAACATTCCTGTCAGAGCCCTTAAAAAAGTACGCCGCCCCATCCACTTCCCATCTCTAGTTGTTATTACAATTTTATTTTTTTAAAAGAAAACAATGAACAGGAATTCCTCCTCGACCCGGGCCTCTGCCCTGAGCCACGTTCGCGCGGTAACTTCACCTGCGGCCCGTCCCGGTCCGAATCACGGTCTGTTCGATTCGACTCTATATGCAGAGGCCTGCCCCGGCCGGCCGCGCCCCCAGACCAGCCCACCTGCACTCCTCCTCCCCCTCCCCTGGCTGGCGTGCTGTGCGGGTCCAGCGCCGCCCAAGTTTCACACACCGCAGAGTGTGTCAACAGAGATGTGAAGCGCGGCGGCACGGAAAAGCCTGACTCTGCAACCCCATTTTTTTTTTATTTCGTAGTTTCGGAGACTCGTGCATTAAATGTCCTCCCACCGTATCTCCCTCTCGCCTGTTCCTCTCCTTTCTCGTTCTCCAGGCCTTCGCCTGAGCCGTCACCTTATTACCTTATATTTATTGCAGACGAAGGATATGTATAATCTTTTCATGCAGGACAAGACACGCTAGAGCCGGGAAAGCTTACCCCCCCCCCCTGCCTCCCCCCGAGTCCGACCCAGTCCGTTCGGCCGCCCCTGCCGTGCTTGACCGTGCGCGGCCATTCTCCTTTTACGAATGCAAAGCTCTCCCCGGTGCGACGGCGCCGGACGGCGCTATCTTGTTATTCCGTCTGGTATCTGTTCGCAAGACAGTCAGCCCGGCTCGCCCACCGGCAGGAGGGTACCGGGGGGGCTGCATGTCTCCCCACAGTATGTTACGGCAATGGCCAGAGCACGATTAATTGCGACCTGGCCGTCTGTCAGGGAGGGGGGAGTGGGGGAGTGAGGGCCGGCGCTGTGGTGGGGTGCGGGCCGAAGGGGCAGAGCGGCAGCGGCCGAGGAGGGTGATGAGGGCGCGAGGATGGGGGATCGAAAAGTTAGAAAAAAATAACAAAAAGCTGACGCCGGGCGCTGTTTGGGGTGACGAGGGCGGAAGGTGCGAAGCAAACGGAAGCGGAGGTTGGGAGGGACGACTCGCTCGCGCTCGCTGCGCTGTTCGGCGCGCGCCGTCGTCGGCGAGTCGTGCACAAAACTGGAAGCAAAGACTTCTTTCTCTGGCGCCATGATGAGGCTCGTCGACGATGAGCGATGGACGTGTGCGCGCGGGGCGGGCGGGGGCCGTTCCAGGTTGGATAGGGGGGTTGCGTCTCCGTCGTAGGGCGGGCAGTGACCGGGCAGTGATGAGCCGATGAGGATATGGACGAGAATTAAGAGAGCCAGAGAAACATATTAGATTTCATGTATAACACCAAAAGTTTGTTAACATACATAGTCATCAGGCGTATAAAACATCTCACTGTCATTCGTAAGAAATTCCTCGGCTGAGTAAAATACACCATTAATTAATAATTTATACACAAGACTTTTTTTTACAGGGCAAAAGTTTTACATTTTTTTGCCCGTATCCGCGAGCAGGGGGGTGGGGGAGAGGAAGCGAGAGAGGAGTTGGGGCTTCGGAGCGCTTTGGCCGCAGCCTGACAGACATGCCTTTTATTCCCGGGGAAATAACGAGATGGATGAGGGAGGATGGCTGGCTGGCGAGGGCTGAGCGCCGCACCGGTAGACACGGTGATCCCTTGTCGTGGCGGGCAGTGCATAGGGCCAGGCCTGTAGGCCAGCAGGGGCAGACCTATCGCGCCAGACACCCGGCTGCCTGCAGCTCCGTCATGACAATCAATAGGAGCGGGGCGGGGTGCGCCCTGGGCCCGGGACGCCGTGGGTGAGGAGGAAACAAACTGATCCACGGCACGGCGTGAGAAACCGGAGGGAGGAGAAACGGTGAGAGACAGGAGGGGTGGGATTGGGGTAGCAACGCCGGCAACGCCACGCGTCGTATAGCGCCAAAGCACCCAGGCTGCTGCTGGCGCGGGCCTTTCTTCGACCATCGGAAACATACGTTAAGCCCCCCGGCCCCGGGCCCCGGCACGGCCGTGAGCCTCTCCCGTCTCAATTACTGCCCGCTCGCACGCCCTCTGCCCCCGCAGCGCCCGCAGCGCCCGCTCCAGCGCGCAAACAAAAACAGGTCCCGGCGGTGCTGGGGCGAGGCCGCTGCCCGCGGCCCGCGGCTGGTCCGAGGCGTGCACGTCGGCGAACACCGTGGAACGCCGGCACTGCGCGGACTCGACGATCGTCGTTGGCACACACAAGGAAGCGTCAGCTGGTGTTATTCGACTATGCTAGCAAACAGGAGACGAGCCAAGTCAACCGTGACCAATAACGGCGTGCTTTGCACGTGCACACTTACAACCGATGTTTTGTTATTATGCTTTCATATATTGTGCCCTAGGAGGCTGCCGAGCAGCACCTCTATCCTGGACAGCCAACAGGCGCGTATTAGGTCGCGATTAGACAGCCGCCTATAGATGGGCAATTTGACCCTCAAAACCTGCTGCATGTAGGTAGGCAAGGCAACTTTCGATACACCGCCCCCTCTCACCACCCCCTATTTATATGCCTCAGACTACAAGCGTGAGCGGCTTTCACGCGGACCGATATCCAGACATAACGCGCGGCTGCCTTTAGACGATCAGGCTAGATGTTTTTATGGAAAGTACCCCCTAAAAAAGATTATTAATTTTATTCTCACAAGTGCAGAGCATCAATAACTGTTCAAAATAAAAACAAAAATATTTACGGGTTCTTACAGGGTAAAAAAAGTGCGTTGCAGAGACAACTTTGACTGTATAGTACAGCAACGATTAGCTCACGCCGCTACAACTGCACGGAATAAAATGACTTTGTTGTAGGATCAACTCTGTATGGTGGGCTAAATTCGGTAGCTGGAATCGAGAATCCGATACCCCCAACCGAAAGTCGGTTGTCACGACCGAACACTTGTACAAATAGAACAAACACCAGCTGGGTTCTATTCGTACGAGTGTCCGATCGTGACAACCAACTCCCCGTTGTGAGTATCAGATTTTCGATTACAGCGATCGAATTAAGCCTACCAAATAAAACTAATCCCCACAGCAGTCTTTTTTTCCGTGCGCGACATGTTGTCAATGGTTGACAAACAGATTACTAGTAGTCATATTGAGGCATTTCCCCTACAGAACAGGCATGTAACAAGTATAGCAAATCACTTGGACGTGCGAGGGCAAGAAGCTCTTGAAGGTCCGACACTGCAGCAGGCAGCCAGCGACCTGGTTTGTGCATGGGTCGTCTCGTGGTCGCTCAAGGACGAGACGCCGCAGGGCGTGCAGGCCTGCCAGGTCCTCGCCGAGGCCGGGGTAGTAGAAACCTTTTTTGACTTTCTCATTGACACTACAGACTACCTGAATCTCCTCTACAGAGGAGGCGTAGGCGTGGATAAGCGACATCATGGTAGCCTTATGCGGTTGGTTCAAACAGACTCCAAGCCACCTCAGGGCTCCATGCTGCGAGGGGGCGAAGTTCATATTTGGGCCGAGGTAATCGTGCACGGCCAGACTGTGCAACCTGGACATGCGCTCCAGACATCGCAACTGATTTTCTCTTGGATGCTGTATCGCGAGTTCTTCGAGCTGTAATGGAAGATCCGGAAAGACCCCGTTCACCTCTCTATCGCATCTAACTCGTAGTCTTTTGAGTGATGCCATTTCCATCACTTCCACCATAGCACTAGGCTGTGCTCGATGCCGATGCTCGACTGGAGTACCGAATACGCCTCCGATCTGCAGCTCCTCGAGGTGCGGTGCTACAATACGCAGCAGCTCCTCCAGACCACCAGCGTAGGAGCTAATTAGGCAACGCACATTTCTCCATCGTAGACTGTCTCGAAAAAGGTCAGTAAAATTTAAATGACCATTTTTAAAGTCATCTTTCGTTGTTTGTAGAACAGTGGTAGTTGGCGGTCCCACGTAAACACCAGGCGTGGCAGGAAAAGGGGCGACGTCAACCTGAAGAGAGCTGATATAAGCAACAAACCGAAGCGAACAACCCGAATCACACCTATCCCGGTTGACTAGTAAGTGGCTTACCTTCTCCAGCTGGTCGTCTGCCCGCAGCTGCAGCAAAAGAGGGCGCAACATGTCGCTGAATCCACCGAGCTGCGAACAGGCCCTCCAGGTGGCACCATCCGCCTCCACCGCAACCACGCTGCACTCGTTGGCGGTGAGGAGGCGCAGGTTGTCCTCCAGCTTCCCCGCCAGCTGCAGCTGCTCCGCCACCGGGTCGCCGCCTTCAACGCCAGCCGCCCCCCGCCCCCGCTGCACCTGCAGCTCCAGGGCCTCCTCCACCTGGCGGAGCTGGGCGACCGACGAGTCTAGCTGGCGGTTGAGGGCCTCCACGGCCTTGGGCACCACCAGCTGCAGCAGCTCCACCACCTTCCGCCCTGCCTCCACGCCCCGCCGCAGCCGCTGAACCTCTGCCCCTTCTGTCCTGGGCTTCTTGAGAGGAGGCGCGCCGGCGTTTTCAATCAGGCGGATCAATGCGATGCTGTCGGGCAGGTCGGCGGGGTCGCCGTTCAGGTCCTGTAAATTTTTTTTTTTTTTAAGTTTTAATGACTTTTTATTTCTAGGAAAGTTCGATTTTACATTAACAAGATCTAGTTCATAATCTTTTGTTTCTTCTTCCATTTTTGCAAAACTTCTGTAGTAATTTAGATCATCTCTATCTAATCTACCACAGTCAGGATTAGATTTCTATTGAAACACTAATATCGAAAGAATTAAACACGATGACTAATGATGGACACAAACTCTATCCCCTTAAACTCTCCAGTTACGAACATGCCTAAAAAGCTAAACAGTTTGATTAACGGTTAATTGAACTATAAAATTTAACAATCTATCTACTTTATTCCCCCGATTATCAGAGGAAATGAAAATAATTATTTCCTATGATAATCGGTCAAATAAAGTAGATAGATTGTTAAATTTTACAGTCCAATTAACCGTTAATCGAACTCTTTAGCTTTTTAGGCATGTGCGTAATGCATTGATCAATGCATAAAAACTTAAATCACAATCACAGATCCACTGCACAAAATATTATGTTGCTATTTTAACGGATTTTTAATTTGTATTTACTGACGTTTCTGCAAAGTGGACACTTTCTCCCCAAGGCAGGATTCTGCACACATTCATTACAGATAGTGTGCCCACAGGGCAAGTTCTTGGGGCGGTGGAGGTGCAGATCGAATTGCATAAAACATATGTCACACTGGAGTTCCATCGCTGAAACACAAAGATAAAACGATTGTCATGCTTTGAGAAGATGTGCTGACTGAATCATCAACGCTTCCTTTCCAAGCCAGTTGTGACAGGTAGGACAATCATACCTCTAGCAAGTACAAGGACAAGAAAACAGGGGGAAAAAAATCACTGTATACTGTTTTTCTTTAAGTAATACGACAACACGACAGTTTAAAATTCGGTGACAATTCAAACAAAGGGTTAGGTTAAGAGGTTATGAACATGTTCATCCATCCCATCAGAACACGCCGCGCCGAATCCAGCTCCCCCCTGGCTTTCATTGGTCGGGCGCACAAGGCGGTGGGGTGACGGTGACAGCTGCTTCTCTGCTAGTGTTTTCAATTGGGCGGGTATGTTCGAACATTTTAGCCAGACTCCATCTGGAAAAGCATTGGTTGCGGGTGGGGTGGGGTGAGGGTGGGGGTCTGAAATTTTAGGCCTACTCACTGTTCGGCCGAGAGGGTGATATTGATGTGTCTCTCAACAACAACAACAAAAGAAACACTAAAATTTTGGGGCTGCATGTAAGGTTGGCGGCGGGAAGCTCGCTGTTCGCCTTCCATGCTGTCTCGTCCCGCCCTCGAAAACACCCAACTCGGAGAGTAGTGTATTTCGGCTACCGGAGTTTGAAGAAGAATATCGGGTAGAAGGTTACTGATTTGTAGAGCCTTTTAGTCCTACCTCCAGCATTGACGTAGGCCCGGGAAGCTCTCGACCAGTCGGTATCGTTTATGATCTGTATCTGCTATTTTTCTTCCCCCGTTATAGCCGAAATTCACAACAGAGGTGAGCGGGTCTCCGTATAGGTCCACGGCCGCCCGGCGCTGCAGGCCGGCCCGCGACACAGTGCCGTACGCGGGCTGCCTACCCACCAGGCGCTCGGTCCTATGGATAGTGACGATAGAGACAAACGGTGCGAGCCCCGCCTGCGGCGCCCGCGCGCATGGTCATGGACAAAATCGTTGACGATGTCGTCTGATATTCAGTGTGGTATCGTGTTTTTGTGTTTGGGAAAATTGGAAGATGGCGCCACCACCGTGGGCACGTGCGATATTGGCACGTCCGGTGTGGGCACGCCGAGTATGGGTACACCCGGTGTGGGCACGTCCGGTGTGGGCACGCCGAGTATGGGCACGCCTGGCGAGCACGCCGCTCGCACCTGCCCGGTGCAGACCAATTAATTCCCAGCTTGGCCGGGCCTTGGCCGGGGGTGGTCGATCGGGCGATGCGGGCCGAGCTGCTTCTCGGATGGACGCGCGCGCGGGCCGGCCGCCGTGCCTCCCCGTATCTGTGCCGAGGCGGCCACCGAGTTACGTTGGTGTGGAGAGCCCCCCAAAATCCTCTACCCCTCGTCTCATGCCCACACTCCCCCCTCCCCCCCTTCCCGCTCTCGGCCCGATGGCGCCAGCTGTGCATGGTCCAGGTACACCCTACCCAGGCCGCTATTCCAAAATAAATCGACGGAGCAGTTTCCCCGAGAGTTTCCGGCGGGGGATCGGCAATGGACGATTATGTTGATACTGGCATTCGGTCCTGCTCAGGTACATTTATTTCGTACAAGAGTCATGAGTTCAGTCAAGAAGTTTTCCAGGCTCTCTGAATGGCGTTCATTAACCACCATAATTCCAGACTATCCGCCCTCATTTCTCCACTCAGCGGTGGGCAGCCCACTGGGCTGGCGGGCCTCGAGGCTGGACGTACCCCCCCTCCCCTTCTCCCCTTCCGTCGGGACCCCCGCGGTGTGCCGGGGGTGTTGTTGATGGATTAAGAAGGCGCTGCGGCTGAAGGCACTGCAGGAGAAAAATAACAGTCCCCCTCTCATAGCAGCTGCTAAGCTGGAAAACAAACTGCGTGGAAATGTATCCCCTCCCTCCTCCACTCTCCTCACAGTGTTACTTCATCTGGCCATGTCTTTTTTCCCTCCTCCCCCCTCTTGTTGTTCTTGTTTGCCGCTCGTTCTGATTCACTCCTTTCCCTTTGAGGCTGGCCCGGCCCCTCCTGACGTCGACACTGCCGCAACTTCGTTGTCCGGCGCATCGTGCCGCCCTGGCCTCTGTGCTCATTGCACTGTGAAACCCATGTCAGTGAGTATGAGATGCAATACAAAACGGAGTGGCCAACGTCCTCCAACAGCAGCAGCCTCTTGCGGGGTCTCCAGTCCGCCCGCTCACGCCTCCAGGCGGGCTGTTTTCCTTGCACTAATAAGCTGATAATGCCCGGCGCCTGGGCGGCCGGGCGCAGATCAGCGAGATATGTAGGAAACCCATAAGAGTTTCAGATTTGCCAAAACCTCTTCATAAAAATGGAATCTCACTTCAGAATGCTGCCCACTGCCCATGCTCACCAGACCTCATTCCGCAGCCCCATCCGCAATTATTCAAGTATCCGAGTCGCCGCTTTCCCCCTTTTCTCGGAGCCCGCCGGGCCTCAGGGCCCTAGCCTCTCCCTCAAGGGCCTCGAGGACGTGTCTAATTAGACGAAGCGATAATGGCGAAAGATGTCATCCCCTCCGGGCCCAGGTCGGGGCGGTGCTTTCGCGAGTGAAAGAGAGGCTCCGACGACGCCCTTAAGCCCCAGGTAAGGCGGCCCGCCCGCGCCTGTGACGGGCAGGCGATTATATGGAAAAGGCCGCCCCTCCGCTGTCATTACCGCGATCGAAAGCTCCGGCCGGCCCGGAGGGGGACCCGGAGGGTGACGGCGGGAAAGGCAGCTGCTAGAGGCACCAGGCCGGCGCAGTCTATAAAGACAGAAGAAGCGGCTGGACGAGAAATCGCGGAGCGCCCGACGAACACCGACACCCCTCACCGAGTAGGAGCGTGGTGTGAATGAACTACCCCTTATTACTCGTAAATGTTCGCTATAGGGAGTATGACCGGGTAAAAGGATCTGATGACGAACTGTAGTCAGAACTTTAGTAGTTTCGTCATTCAGTTTATGATCAGTTTTTCCCGTTTTGTGGCTGTGCGTCCGAAATAACTGCAATTAAACTATCCAAATCTGCTACTATACATATACAAACTACTATAGTTTAACTACAGTTTTCGGCTGCAGTATTGAGTACGGACGGATCATTACCGGGACAATCTCATGACATATACATAGACTTCTCTAAGATAGCGCACTGGAAGCTATTTTTCAACAAAGTGTGCCCTACATGTGGACCACACTGCTGCCACTGCACGGACGCGTGCCGGGCTTCTCGAGCAAGGCGACGGCGCACGCCTCGCAGCCACCACAGTGGCCGGCAAAGCGCTCTGCCAATACGTCACATTGAGAGGGGGGAGGGGGG